GCTTCCGCCGGGAGCGCCCCGGGCACGGGATGGAGCCCGCGCGTCTGCCGGCGGAAGGACGGAGGCGCTCCGGGGGTGCCGGTGGTGCAGTGTGCGACAGAATGTGTTGTCTTTTGTCACCACCGCCACCTAAAATGGGCTGGGTATATTTGCTTCCCCCGCCTCGCAGTAGAGAAGGAGAGGCGATTCCCCTTGATACGATGCAGGCAGGTCTGTTCCTTGGCTGGGAAGCTTCGTACTGGCAGTACGCTCTAAGCACGTTCAGAAAGTAATTTTTTTTTTTAAGGCGTACCGTAAGGATAAGCTTTCAGACAGCCTGGAATTACTGTGCAACCTAAAGAGCGAAATGAGGTAACACTTATTTCATAAGGTCGTGTCGTACAAGGAATAGAAACGCAAACTGAATTGAGCCAATTCTTGTGTGCCATTCCCCCTCTCCTTTTCTTGTTCTGATGTTAATGGCTGCTGAAAGGCTGTGTCATCTCAAAGGATCAAAAGGATCCCAAAAACCCAAAAGGCTGTCATGTCACATAGTTGGTTTTTTTTGTTGTTGTTGTTTTTTCCTTTTTTTTTTTTTTTTTTTTTTTTTTTTCCTCCAAATCCACTCACTGTCTAATAACCTGGGCAGACCTTTGTTTCCTCCCCATTTCTCTCTGAGGCCCGAGGCTTTGCAGAAGGCCAGCGTCAGTGGTGCTGGGCAGCGTGAGGGCTGCTCTGTGCTTCCAGAGCCTGCAGCTTCAGCATAGGAAACTTTGCTGGAGTGGTAGAACAAGACCCTGCTTGAGGCAAAACTGTAGGGGTTTGTATTGCCAGACTGCGTTTCTGATCTAGACCAAGCTTTAGTAGAAGAAATTCACTATGTAGTACTTTTGTGAGAAGAATCTTTGATGAGCTGCAGTAATTCATGGGAATGAATTTTGCATGAGAATTTCATCTCCAGAGGCTGCTGTGAGTCTAAAGCATTTAACTGCAGCAATTACCCAAGTGTGCCCAGGAAACCTCTGGTTCACAGGGTGTTATTAACCTCTCACAGATATGAATATCAGCTGCACACAATATGTTAAATGGCTAACATTCACAAGGCATGTGCAGATTTGTTGTGAGGGCTACTTACTATATCAAGCATAGGATATAAAGCTGAAAAGAGAATTTTCATCTTTTTCCAGGTTTCAACCCAGACCTACATTTCAATTTTACCACAATTCAGGAGCAGAAATCAGTTAGGCCCAATTAGGATAAATTCAGCTATTAAGTCTAAATTCTAGAATAGACACAGATACCTTAAAGGTTTAAGTTTGTTTGAGTTGCCTTAAAAACAACAGATGAATCAGTATCAGAGAATACCATTGTGCTCTAAGCAATGAAGGCCTTTTTTGTATATGTGCAAGAACAGCTATTTTAATTTTGTAGGTATTTTTCTGACGGAGTTCTTTGGGCACAGCCTTCGTGGCCAAAGCTGCGTGAAGAGCAACGGCAGTAGAAGACTGTCCTGATTGTGGCACGATGGTTTTAGTTAATAGAGACGGGTTTTAGGCGTGCACAGGCAGCGCTTCAGGCTCCGATTTCACGCCTGGGCCGTTGCCGGCTTTGCCAGCAGGTGGCAGAGGCTGATCAGCGCTCTGCCCCCCTGATCTGGGGAACGCGCCCTGGGGACACCGCATCTGCCTGGCAAGGTGACAGCCAGAGGGGAGCGCAAGCAGCCTGTGCGTGCATGTGGGGACTGGAAGAGAAGGGAAGGGCGAGCTCTATTTCAATCCACTCTTTGTTTCCCCAAGGTTAAGCCCTGCTTACCACAATAATCTTATCAGCTGAAACTGTTTCTACAGAACTGGACCCTTAACAAAATTGAGATGCAAGCGCTTGAAATATGGTAAAAGTTAGACCATTGTAGGCTTTAATTATATGTAAGCATGGCAAAACAGGCTTGGGAGGGGGAAGACTTGAAAAACTTGGGCGTCTGGATTGTTATTTGTGTTACTGCTTAATTTACTGGCGTACAACTGATCCTTCAGAGAAGAAGCCGAGTGCTGTGCACAGAGCCTGACCTGAGTTACACCAGGATATCTGTAATGACAGCAGCAAAGCTGTTCTGGGTGTTTACCAGTACAGGTTCAAAGTCTCATTTGAGGGCCCTGATCTTCATAGGGATGTCAGTTTCTACTGCTGAAAGACAGTTGATTGACACTGGATTTTTTTTGATGGATAACGAAGTCTCTGAGTGAAGGACACAGTGGAAAATAATAATGGCTAAATATAACAAGAAAGCATTTATTTCAACAATTCAGTCTTTCTAATAATAAATGCTTTCAAGAATAAAGAATGTTGCTATTTTTCTGCATGACACAAGAAAGGGTTTTGACCTAGGGCAAAGGAGAGAGGGAGAGCTTCAGTATCATTTACAGAGTGCTCAAATGGTTGTTTAGGAGTAGCCACAAGGTTTACATGCTGTTTGCATTCATTGTCCAATATTTCAAGGGAATTTGTCTAAAGAATTAAGTGTCGTGTACAACTCTTTAAATAAACAAAAGGAAAGTAATACAGATCTCTGTATGATTAGGTGATCCCTAGCTGCTGCTCACACAGAGTAGCAACTGGAGGCTCAATTATATTTCTTAATTAGAATTTAGCACAAAGTTACTTGGATTTTATGAACATATAAGCTGCATTGCCAAGAGCCACACATGTTTTATTTAAGAGGACTTATAAATATGGTGAGTACAACCTATTAGAGAGTCAAAAGTGACTTCAAAAGAAGTAAGTAAATAGCACCTTAAAGAGATGTAGGGTTCATTTGATATTTTAACCTTATGCCATTCAAATAATAGAAATCTCAAATTTAAGGAGCAGTTTTGGGTAAGGCCTGATCCTGCTATGAGTAGCTATGAGTGGTCTTCACTAATGAGTGGAAAGGGCAAATTCTTTGCAGTTTCCTGTGTATTGGATACTCAGTTGTTCACCACCATGCAAACTTTGTGTTCCCAGCAAACCATAAATGTAAACCGGTAACTTTTAGAAAGCTAAACCCAGCTTAATCCTTTTTCTTATTATTACTTTACTGATGACCTTCCTTTTGCACCATCAGTTCTGTTCTCATGCCAAAACTAATACATAGTAAGGATAAAGAGCATTTAAAGCCTTCACTAACAGGTTTGCTTAGCTGACAATCTTTCTCATACAGCCCAGCTACATCCACAATGTCATCACTGGAAGGACACTGGGCTGGATTGTGAAGCCTGCTCCTCGTTGTGAAAGCTATAAAGTTCACTGCCAGATAACAAGACTGAAAGCTAATTCAGGAACTGTTTCTCAAGAGCTATCCTCTGGCCTCCCTCATCAGAGTGAATGCACTCACTCACTGAAGCATCTTTTGGCAGCAGCTTTGGCCTTCCTCCAGCTGTTTCTCTCTTCTCAGGGATTTTCTTGTTCAGTGACTGGTTGTGGTCTTTAATCCTGGTTATCTTGTACAAGGAGCCCCACTGAGAAAAGAAGCCTTCCCCGCCATGGAACAGCCAAATTAAAGCACATTTGTAAAAATCATAATTAGAAGGTCCTGTCCTCCCTATGAAATTATCTTTTTGGAGGGATTTGGAAGCACAATTTTCTTTTGTACCATGTGACATTAAAGCAGATATATTGGAATTAAAGCTGAATTAAAATAATGTATTTAAGTAGGACCCTTGACTGAGTTTACTCACCACCTTGACTGGGCATGTATACTTCTAAATTTTGAAATAATTTTATGAGGATTTTTGTTCTTTTATTAGGTGCCTTCTAGCATTTGGTAGCATTGAGCAGATATCATCTGCAGTGACTCCATAGGCAGTGATTAAATACAAATCTCCAGACTTTGAGGCTCCAGCAGAAGGAGAGAAATAAATGGCCATGAGCAGAAAATCCTCATCCTAAAATGAAGGCAAAGAGAACCTGAATGAAATATTTGTCCTGTTGCATTAATCACATCTAAATAACGAATGTAGAAAGTACAGTCAAACTCTTCCTGCATAAATCACATATCTTCTGATAGAGAATATCCTTTTGATATGCGCAGACCATGGCTCTTGACAAGCTGTTTGGATGATGGTTTTCCATGGAAGACAGGTTTTAAAGGATTCTTACTCTTCATATGCTTTCTGTACAAATGATGGCAACTGCATAGTTTTGCTCATTAAATACATTTATGCCCACTATTTTTAGATTAACATGTAGTTTTGTTAACATAGGGCAGCACTATTCAACATTTGCTTCTTCTGTAGGCTTCTCATAGTCAGAAGCCTTGCAAAAAGACTTTACATTTTGTTTCCTATACTGAAGTTTTTCTGAAGTACTCTGAAATTGCTTGCTCACCTCAGATGCAGCACTACCAAGATGAAAATATTAAGCAAACAGAATGCCTTGGCTTAGCAACCATGTTGGTTCAGATCTGCTCAGAGCACGACAGGAGAAAGCCTGTAAAGTAGTGAAAGAAAGTGAAAGGTAGTACTTGCTTATTTGCCTCCCATAGTAGATATGTGTTGCTACTAGCCAATATGGCACCTTATAGAAGTATTTTTTAACATGTGCTCATCCACACACACAAGCTCCTATTGTTTTATACGCATTGCCAAAAAGATGGAATTCCTCTTGGTGAGCATAAAAATGCGTATGTGGTAGTATTTATACTGGCATGGCTTGTTCCTAGAAGGGATAATATTATGGTGTGATTAGAGAAAGGAGATTTAATCACTGACATTATTTTAGATAACCAATAGGGAAGAACGGTGTTAAGCCTCCAGGTATCTGCAGTGGGGATAAAGGAGTTTGCGTTGTCATGAATGTGTGTGTAATATATTCTCAGGTCCTTAGGGAATAGCACGCTCTCCTGCTGTCCCACTGAGTCCAGGAAGGATCTTGGCTAGAAAGGCACAGCTGACAGGAGTCAGTGGGCATGACAGGAACAATCAAGTCCGTTAATACTGTGTATTACACAGTGAGCCCTGTTCCCAGTCTTAAAGAAAAGGCAATAAGGGACAAATTTGGTTTGGTTTCTTGTGAATGCTATGAAGTATCTTCCAATTCTTTGTTATCCATGAAGATCAAAGTATTTGAAGCTTTGCTTCCAGTATCAGACCTTGAAGAAGTAATTTCTCCCTCTCCCATGGAAACGCTGTGGGAAGACTGAGTACACAGAACGTGCCTTGGACCCGCAGCGCAGCACTGTGAATGTGCAGATTGTTATGCTGGATGCTCAGCATGTCCAGCTAAGTGACCTCTAGGGTCATCTTCCTTTCCTTTCCCAGCACAGCCCCCTCTCCCTTCAGTCACCAACGACCATATGGGGAGGTCAAGTTATCAGCTGAGCAGAGAAGCAGTAATGGCAACAAATGAATTTAGCTATCTAATAAATATTTGTAAAAGCTAAGAATAGCTGAAGCATACATTATATTTTATTTACAATAGCATGTCCTGGCCTTTTCCTTTATACTTTTCATTTGGAAGCAGAGCTTCTTGACAATATGGGAATTGTTCATTTGGAATTAAGTTTTCATAAGAAATTAAGGGCTCCATGCTTTACAAAAATTTCTGTCAGAAGTCCAGAGACTGTGAATAAGGTGAAGTGTTACTCTGAAGGTACTGGGAATTCAGTATGTTAAGAGCTATGTTAAGTCAAGAATGTTTTCATAAAATCAGAAGAAAACTTAGGACTGGTAGAAATATCTTATCCTCTAATAATTTTTGAATATTTGAGAGGGAAGACAGCTCTCTGCCTTGATTTTGCTTTCCTTGGAAAGCAAAGGGGCATACAAAAGGATGTAAGGAGAACCCTTGCATCTGCTCAATTTAATTTATGAGCAAGGGATGACTTGAGGGTCAGAGCATCAGTCTGAAACTCAGAGTTAGTGTCGCATTCATACTTCTGCCTGAGCACTTCCTATGTAAACTTGGTAAATGATTTTTGCACATGATGCTCTGAAATTCCCAGTGATTTCAGTTGCTTTGTTTTCTGGATGTTTGCCAGCCAACATTATGGCCCGTGTTCTTTGTTGCTCTGTTTCTTTGCTTGATTCAGAAACAAAGAGGAATAAGGGGGATGGGGTATGCAGGAGAATATAATAATGCAGAGAAACATCATGTAATCTTTGCATTTCAATTACCTTCAAAATTTAGGTTTTTTTCCCAGCTGAATGCACTGGGAACTGTTCTGGCTTACATTTTGGATGAAGTAGCTGCTCGAAAGGCTGGTGAGAGGAGACAGCTGTTGGAAATCTGCATTCCAGTTAACGCGTTCAGTCCAAGCCCCGTATGTGCAGGGTACTGCTCGCAAGGGTACTGCTCCCAGAGGATTCCCCTGGGTGGCTCCCCTTTGAATCACATCCTCCCTGCTGAATTCAGCACCTGGTACTGTCTCCGCTTCCGAAAATGGAGGCATACCAGTGTTTCTTGGGCCGAAGGACGGATATCCTGAGAATACTGTGGTTCTCAGAAAGTCTCAGTCGTGGAGATTAAAGGAGCCTGCTCGCGTTTTTCCTGCAAGCCTGGCCTCAGGCTGATGTAGGGCATCACGTTTCTGGAGAGCTGGCATTAGCAGCACGTCTCACTGCAGCCCCCAGGGAAGGTGTCAGTCACCACATGTGGTTTATCGGGAGGGAAACCGAGGTGGCACTGGAGCTGCGGCGACCCTCCTCCTGATGCCACCACCGTGGCAGCCGTGAGGAGACAAGAACCACGGCTGAACCGAACCGGAGACGGGGGGGGAGAAGGCGTATCACTCCTTTCCGCATCAGCGGGACGCCGACCGGGAGGGTGCCCGAGAGCCGGGCGGGTC